TATTATACTTGTATAAATATATAAATAACACATATAATAGACTTATAAAAATAACTATAGCTATTTATTAATCTGATAAATAATGCATGTACAAGTAACTGCGTTTATCAGTAACTAAACATAGTTTATTCATATAGTATTACTAGTGGGGCATAAAAAAATAAAAATGAAACAAAACAAATATATAAATAATATAATAGTGTAGTATACATACATGAAATGAGAGGGCTGTGTATATAGTGCTGATGTACAGAATACGGGTATAAAGTGTAAGAAGAAATAATGAGACTCCTCACCTGGCTGGGAAATCCCTGTAGTAGACCCTGAAATCCTGGTGGACTCGGATACAGCCTCTTATGAAGCGTGGCCTCTGTTCCCTGCTATTTTATACCACTATAGTCAATTAATATTGCATTAGGCTTATTCAAAATTTTCGAAACCCACAATATAATGTAATGGCATAAGGACATTTATTATTAAAGCACATCTGATTGGAAAAAGGAAATCATTGGGGTGATTAAACAGTGTCGAAGCAGGCATGCTACAAGAGATACTCAGAGGAGATCAGAATAGGAAAATAATGAGTTGGCAAGCTGATATATTATTTTTTTTCCTGCGCTTCTTAAGTCTGAATAGTCTCTTTTTGTCGGTGATGTGAGGTTTGATGTTTGACACTCATTGAAATGCTACAGCGAAATATTCAGAAGATGCTTGTGCTGTGAGCATTAATTTTTAATCTTAGCCAAGCTTCTGGGATTCATGAATAAAACGCCTAGTTTAAAACACAGATTTACAAATGAACTTTTGTCTTCCTCATCTGATGGGGAATTTGCACCTCCGCGAACTTTACAAATCGCCTTCCTTCCTATTCATCTGCGGGAATCCTTGCCTTTCCCCAGACTACAATCTGTATAATATAGTAACAATACACACTCCTAATACAGTGGTACAAACGTGTCTACCTACTGACAACAAATAAAAAACTACAGCACCATGGATCACACACATTCACCCGAACCCAGATTATGTCACAAACTACCTCCAACCATATTGATGCTGAGCAAAGCTCTGTAACCCCTAGCAACCAACGGGTACTCACTTCCTGTAAGATAATTGCTGATTGGTTGCTGTGGGATACTGTGTGCAATTACACATAATACTTTATGAATTATTAAATCATTGCAATGGTGCCCACAAACTCACAAATAGAGTAAGGGATTATTAAAACTCCTTCCCTTTTTTATGCTGTCTGGGAGATTTAGCTTTAGTTCCTGTCTTGAGAAACAACAGCAAGTGAGAAGAAATCTTTTCAACGCAATGGAAATATTATTTTACAGTACTAGTTGTCACCAGAACAAGTAAGATTTCCCCTCTAGTCCTGTTTGAAGTGACAAATCAAAATCGTATATTTTCCCTTACTCTCCTTACCAGTGAAAGTGGTCACCAGGTTAAATAGAAGGGCACAGACATAAATAAAAATATGACAGGTTGTAACTCTTTCTTATGCTATCCACATCTAATATAAATATATATATATAATCAGAATGATTGTAACTTTATTTCAGTAGAAAAAGTACAGTA